GCAAATGGAAAATGATGAGCCACTCATCGGTTTCCATTTGCATGTTCAAATCTTGGAAACCAAGTCCAGTGGATTTTATTGAACTTTTAGGGAAAGTTGTATTCACCAACTTTTACGGAACGTTGTATTCACCAAAAACTTGCCATTCGCCTCATTAGAATTGCGACCTTCACCTCGCTCTGCCTCACAGTGCTCATGAGCCACATTCTACATAAGAATTACATGTAAAGCTTTTGCTCCGGCTGCCAAATTCTCGATTAGTGTGAAGGCACCTTAAGAGAAGGACATAAGCAATGACATCCGAGGAATAAAGTTTTTTAACAATAATAAAAACAGAAATAACATGCAGATTAAAAAAAAATGGAACCATGCATAAAGCACTGCAAAACAAAGGGAGAAATGGAGAATGAGGCAGAATAATGTATGAAACCAAACTTGATCAAAGCATATATATAATGAGGGACAATATGTCCTGATTAAACTCAGGTGAGTTAATCAGGAAATCATGTGAGGCAGGTGGGAGAGGAGAGACTGAGGAAGGGAGCATTTGGAGCAAAAGTGGGGAACACAGAGACTTCTAACCAACCTGACAAAACACTGAACTGATAGAAACTTCTCCAAATAAAAAAAGAACAGAAAAAAAAATAATCGACTAAGGAAGTACGCGTGGGGTCACAATTAAAACAAAAAAAAAAGTAAAATCCAAGAGTCAGATTTGGAAATTTGATGACAGAAAATGTAATATCTGAACATTTTGTGACATGTTCACTGACGCAGTGGATTAATGTTGGATTCAAGAAGTTTCCAAACAGAACAAATATAGATGGCAGAGGAACAGTGTTGCATATTTCAGATCATCATTCAATATGCAGACGCTACAAAAAGGCATTGAAATTCTCCTGTGGTTAATATGAACAGAATCTTACCGTAAAGAAAGATCCCAAACACCACCAGCATCTTTATCTCCCTGTCAGGAACCAACAAGAACAAACTAAAGGAAACTTAAAAACTCCTGGACATAAACTCCAACTGTTGATCATCATCGAACTACTCGCTGTCTCCAAAACCTACAGGGCTGGCAGTTCCCACATTAAAAAGCTTGAGTGAAGAAGGATTTCCTCATAGTTTCACATTTAAAGTGAGCAACACGTCAACAACTAAGAGGGAAGATTTAATCATGTGATTAACCTGTTCATCCAGTTTCATGTTTATCTTTCGATGTTGGCAGTGTTATATGCAGGTCTTGTTTCCTGTTGCTCTACACTGTAAAAACTAAATAGTTCAACTTAAAATTTCAAGGCAACCGACTGCACAGAATTTTTGAGTTGAAGGCATCGACTTAATTTTTTAAGTTTTGTAGAACTGCACTTATTAATTTGTGTCAGCTAAGTTTTTCAAGTTCTGCCAACTAAGTTTTTTTAATTCAAGTTACTGGAACTTTCAAGTCTGTAAAAACTTATTATTTTAAGTTCAGATTATCAGTAAAAA